TTTATGTTAAAATTTTTCGTAAGTGACATTCTCAGTTGTAATCGAAATTATTGCTAATTGTATAACTTTTTAGATTAAAAAACGACAACATTTACTTTTATTAATCAACATAACCCTATTCGATACTTCATGGTTCATCATTATCAATTGTCAGATCAACTTAAAATCAAACTAAGTTAATATTCTGGGCAAGCAATACCTTCCTATTGTGAGATTGACTAGTGTTTGCTTCGTTCATCGAAAATTTGATCCTGTACGACAACTTAAATGTAGAACTTTAAAATATGTTTTGGGAAGAAGGCTTTAATGGACCACGTCAATTTTTCTTAACAATAACCAACAATAATGGAAAAAATACCCAAAACAAAGTGGAAGCATTCTAAAAATTCAGTGACCATGAATGTTGTTTACCCAAACAAATATTACATCTATTTTGTGGGGGATGCACAATAACAAAATTACCCCTTCCATATGCACAAATGATCACTTTGCCTCTTATCCTTTTTAGAGTATTTCAGCCACAGTGTTTCATTTTGGAGCAAAATGTCCCATGGTTGAATGAAAATTATTAGCCGACTAACTATTAATGTTTCATACGGACGTGGCAAATGTATGATGTCACTTCAACAAAAACTATTTTGAGTAACCTATAAATTATAGTTAATTACATATACACGTACAAATATATTTAAAAATAGTTTAAAAATACTTTTTGGTGACATGGCATCATACATAGACGTATCATATTAATAGAAAATGTTGACCGTTGGTCAATTAACGATTTACATCCACCAAGAGTATTTTGCTCCAAAATGGGTATTTTGCTACAAAATAAAACATTAGGAACTAAAATGTTCAAAAAATGATAATATGATAAGAACAAAATGATCATTTGTGCATACATTGTGTAATTTTGTTATCATGAAAAAAAAGGTAAACAAACACGTGAGAAGAATTGGTGCAAGTGATATAAATAATCTCACTCAGAATCGCAAATGATTTTGACACTTCGAAAACCAAATTTTCTGGCAACTCCTAAACAAACATTATTCATTCGTGATTTGAGAAGCACCAGAAGAAGAAAGAAGAAGGCTATCTTGAGAAAAATCCCATTCCAATGGAAAAACAATATCAAACCAACCGAAACCCCAAAACCCAACCATCCCGGCTTACATGAAAGCCATTTCCGGTTCATTCGGCGGTGTAATGGAAGCCTGTTGTTTACAGCCCATCGATGAGATAAAGACGAGGCTGCAGTTAGACCGGACTGGAAATTACAAGGGAATCGTTCACTGCGGAGCCACCGTGTATCGAGCCGAAGGGGTTCAGGCCCTTTGGAAAGGTTTGACGCCCTTCGCCACTCACTTGACGCTCAAGTACGCCTTGCGGATGGGTTCGAACGCAGTGTTTCAGAGCGCGTTTAAGGACTCGGCCACCGGTTCGTTGAGTAACCAGGGGAGGGTTTTGGCCGGTTTCTGTGCTGGGGTTTTGGAAGCCCTTGCGATCGTCACTCCTTTTGAGGTTAGTTGATTCGGATTCTTAATTGATAATTTGATCAGTAGATTTTACGTTAAGTTGAATACAATGCCAATGATTAAGTCTGCTTTATGATTGTGAAGGTGGTGAAATTAGACAGCAACAACAGAAAGGATCAAGTCCAGAGCTTTTAAAGTACAAAGGTCCCATACATTGCGCTCGAACAATCATCCACGAAGAGGGCATCTTCGGGCTATGGGCAGGAGCCGCCCCGACCATCATGCGTAACGGGACAAACCAAGCCGCAATGTTTATGGCCAAGAACGCTTTCGATGTGATATTGTGGAAGAAACGTGAAGGTGATCAGAGAGTCCTCCAACCATGGCAGTCCATGGTATCAGGGTTCCTTGCGGGAACAGCAGGTCCAGTATGTACCGGTCCCTTCGATGTCGTCAAAACAAGGCTGATGGCTCAGAATCGAGACAGAGGCGAGTCAAAGTACAAGGGTATGATCCATGCTATCCGAACCATATACGCGGCGGAAGGAGTTCGTGCATTGTGGAAAGGATTGGTGCCTCGGCTCATGCGGATACCGACTGGCCAAGCCATAATGTGGGCTGTTGCAGACCAAATAACTGGTCTTTACGAGAAAGATACCTCTATAGTAGCTCTGCATTATAAAACTTGCATCTTATCCCATTTTCCCCATGGATTTCAATACAATTGCAGGTATAAAATCTTGGAAAGTTCCATTTTCTTGAACCCTAAATATCATTCATCCAATTAAATGCGAACTGACATCCCTAATTAAGATTTGTGTATTACTATCTTATATTTAAGATTCAAATCCTAGTTTCTGTCGTTGATTCAGTCTGTAACAAGTTTCCATTAATTATACCTTTAAAAAATGAACTCTTGAGGGAAGCTACGTAAATTAATTTTGTCCTTTTCTTGTGTGTTTCATGTAATCTCCTTCTGCCAGATGCAATATCTCTAAATATAAAATAGAGATAAAAACATTGTATGCTCGAGTATGAGATTTTTTGTATATACAAAATTTTATATAGATTAAATTTAATAAATAATAAAATTTTATATTATGTAATGATAAATTTAAATAAAAACCATACGCGACAATAAAATCTAAAAAACAACATAAAATTATATATATCCAAAAGCTTAATTCAAACTTAGGTATGGGAATAAAAAAAGCTTAATTTAATGAGTTCTAGTAGTTTCAGATAGAGATGGGCATAGGACGGGTTGGGTCGGATTTTTGGTTCACCCAACCCGACCCAAGAACAAGGAATCCTCCACCTGAGATCCGACTCGACCATACCAAAACAAGATTTCATCCGACCCGAACCCAACCCGATATATAACTTAAAAACCCGACCCGGCCCAACCATACTCGAAATAATAAAAAAATATTATTATTCAATAAAAACAATGACTTAATTGAAAAAAATAATATATAGAGGGATATTATTGTAATCATTACTAAATATATGAGGTAAAATTATATATTTTTTCGGGTCAGGTCGGGTCAAATATTTTTCACCCTAAACCGAACCCGACTCGATCCGAACACCATATTTAAAAAACCCCACCCGACCTTGTTTTTTTTTAAAAAAAACCGACCTGATCGGGTCGGGTCAGGTCGGAACCCGTCGGGTTCTGGTCTAATGCCCATCCCTAGTTTCAGAGCCTCTCAGATATTTTTCAGGGTCTTGAGCGAAATAAAAAATAGGCTCTTATAGAATGAAATTATATTCTATTACTTCAAACAATTAATTTAATATTACGTTAATAAATATTAGAAAAATAATTAAATTAGGGACCTAAATTGTAAAAATAAAAAGTGAGATTGAAAAAATTAGTGGACTCAATTATAAAGGTAAAAAGTGAGATTACAAAAATTAGGGGCTTTAATTATAAAGGTAGAAAGCGAGATTGAAAAAAATTAGGAACCTCGGTTATAAAAGTAAAAAGTGAAATTGAAAAAAAAAATTAAGGGCTTCAATTATAAATGTAAAAAAATGAGATTACAAAATTAGAGGTCTTAATTATAAAAAAATCAAAAGACTCAATTATAAAGATAAAAAGTAGAATTGAAAATTTTGAGACCTATAAAAATGGGAGCCTGAGTAGCCACTCAGGTGCTCCCTCTAATAGCCGGCTCCGAATAATTTATTTATCTCGAGTTAAATTTAACTAAAAAATAATATTAGAAATTAAGTTGTTAAATGAAAATTTTGTATCGAACTCAATTTTAATATATATATATCGAATTTAGATGGAATATGTCTGATTTGGATAGAAAGTAACAAAATTGTAATAAAAAAAAGAATGTACGAGTTCTTAAAGTTTATTTGGTGTACATTTATTTTTAGTTACTATTTAAATTATTCTATTATAATCTCACTTAATCATATTATATATTGATTTATCTTTTTCTTTGAAGAAAGAAGTGTTTTGCATTAATCAAATAAAGCATCAGACATCACAATATGTTTCATATATAATAAAAATATAAGGAAGATTGTGATTCAGCAGCCCATCGGGCAAGAGTATGAGCAGCTTGATTTGCCGATCTTCGAGCATATTGCTATGCGGATTCTCCTCCGGCAAACCGAGTGCTTCCTCAAGTTGAAATCGCGCCACAGACAGATTGAGGGTACGTCGCTGCAGTTGTCCGACTAAATTAGCCGAGTCACTCTCCACCATAATCGAAGATGCCCCTAGCGTGAGGCTGACTTGAATACCAGTGGTTATGGCACAAGCTTCAACAATGGTAAAATCACCAATCACATGCAACGGAAGAGCAAGGCCGGTGACCATGTTCATTTCTACCGATGAGCGTTGTAACCATGCATAACCCCATCTAACAGACTAAGTACCCCTGCCCCATACAAAGACATCATTTGTCTTTAAAATTTACTCCGCCCTACAGTTCATCAAAAGCTCTAATTCGTTATTCAAACTTAATCTTTTGGTCTAATGAATCATTTTACAGTTTACTATAAAATTCCTTTTTATATTATTAACTTTATGTAATTAAATAATAATTTGAACCCATAAAGTGACATCAATGATAAAAGAAAATGTTATTCCCTCAAGAAGTTCCGAGTTCAAATAATTCCGTTCAAAAAGTGTATATACACCGTCAATTTGTTAAAAAAATTAAACAAATATTACCTTATAATCATCACATACTATTAAAAAAACTCGATAATTCTATCATTAAATAGCAGTTTAAATCAAACTCAATTAGAGTGGGAAAATCAAACTGAATTTCAAAGGAGAGTTCATGACCCAACCCATTAACTTAGAAAGCCGAATAAACCTACATGTAAATTAAACTAAGTTGCATTTCCAAATAAAAATATAATATTTTCAAAAATCTAAGCAATGTTTCTCCAATTTGATTTATAATAATAATAATAATAACCACAATAAACAGTTGGTTGAGGTTATTCAACTGCAATATAATATATTCACTCAAAGAGATGTAAAAATAGAATTAGAATTACCCTTCAATTCGGAAGTTAACACTAAGCAATACCCTAAGACTTGAACTTAAAAACCCTCATGGCCAATGCCTCCTCCTGTCACTCTTCACTCACAGCAACTCATAAATACAAAATAAAGCTCTTCATCAAAATGTTTTAAGGACTCAGTTTAAACATTCTTCCAAGAAAAATAAAATAAAATCCTCTGAAATCTCTAACTGTAACTGTTTCTTGATACAGTCGACAATAACGAATAGGAAGCCGAGTTTGTATATAGAGTATATGAAAAGGGGACCTGCCAGGGTGGTTAACAGAAGCTTACCATATAGGTAGCTCATAAATATCCAGCCTGCTTGAACACATCATAACAAAAGAGTCTTGGATCGATACAAATGCGTATATATTTCTTTAATCATTGTGTTGGAATTCAAGGTCAAGTTTCCTCTTCAGATGAGACCTGTCAGCACTGCATAACAATGACAACAAATGAAGTCGGTATTTTTTTTACACCTAATTAATAACAAATCCCAGATATCTTGACATATGTAACACGATGTTGGATTTCATTACCTATATCTACCATCCTACGAGGACTAATGCTCTTTACCGAGCTTCATTACCTATATCTATCCTAGCAGTAATTAGTAATTAGTAAATGAGGGAGAAAAATCAACATGCAACATAGGCTTCTTCAAAACTTACAGCATGGCAAGAGTGATTTACTACCCATCTTATAGACTTGTTTAAGAACACAATGAAGAATTCTGAATCGAAAGGATAATCTTAGATGAAGACCTGATAAGTGACAACACTAGAGCCCTGATATAATTTCTTTAACCAATTCAGACAGGCCATGATATAGTATGCCTAAGCTTACTCCAAAAGCAATTCCATTTAAAATTAATGATACAAGGTTCAAAATTATTTCAAGTTGAACTGCAATTGGTTGCACAATTGAATCACTACATGAGTTTGCGGAAATTATGAAGACAAAAAACCATTATGACATAAACACAAAATAGTTATTGTCTTACCTGTTAATTGTCGGTCTACTCAGAGGTTTTGACCCAAAGATTGAAAAATCTACTGACATTGGCACCTGTTCACTCTTTCCTGAATGGTCACCAGCTACCGCTCTAATTCCACCAACATGCTCATCAATCTTCTCCAGTTGGTTGGAATCACGATCTAGCATTACTCTCCTTGATTTTCGTGGTGGAGAAAGCACGGTGGGACCATCCTGGGGATTAACATCTGACGGACGTGATTTAGGAGTAGGCCTAGGGAGCTTAGCTGGATCCGTAGGTAGAGGTGCAGATGAAAAGTACCTGAACAAAACAACAAACATGAGAGCCAATATCCAAATGTTCTTTTTAGTTTTAATTAAAAGCTTCCAAATACCTGTGCTCTAATGCTTGCTGAGTTGTAATCCTAGCTTTTGGGTCATATGTAAACATTTTTGATAACAGATCTAAAGCATCATCACTGGCCATCGGAAACAATGAACGTAAAGGTGGTGCAGGAACATATTGGTATTCTACATAATCAGGCAGGTATACCATATCTGACCACTGAGAGGGTTTCGGCGTCCCAAAGGCTGCAAAGATCTTTCCTAACTGATCGATGTCACTTGTACCCTATTTAAATGTTTAAAAATCGAACCAAAGAAAATGAGAAAATATACCAGGGGTGGAACTTCAAATTGACGACACAGTACATAATGGAAAGAAGGAAAACTGAAATAACCAAACACATATGAGCTTGTTAAAACCAACGTTATGCAAATTCAGATGTGAGTTTTGTATATGGGTATGTGTTCAATATGTGCATGCTAAACTTTTCCATACATTGGGATGACCACACCCCAATAGCCGTAACTAATATGTGTTGGACACAGGTAGTTAAAAAAAATGAAAGAGTTTTAATTAACAAAGGTCAAATGCTACCTAAATATCTTCTTCGCATGTTACAATGACAATAAGTTCAACTAAACTGGAAAATAGTCAGCACAGTGATAATCCATAGTAACACCACAAACTGCAAATCAAACATTGCTCATAACACAATCTAATGAAAAGTTCTAGGCTAACACAAAATATGGCAAAGGGGAAGCAGAAAGTAGGGTTGTTAAAGAAACTGATAAAATGAAAAACCAATTCAAAACACATGGTAAAAGAAGAAAGCTGAAAATGAGATCCAATCATCACATACCATCATTTAATTTAAAAAAACATATAATACAGCAGGAATATAAAGTACGTAATCTATAACTTGATATCATGCAAATATGAAACCAAGATAAATCTAACACTGTAAGAACTTTGACCATATTCCAGGTTCACCTGCAGAAATGGTCGTCGGAGGAGAAGTTCAGCAAATATACAGGCAGCAGCCCAAACATCCACACCAGCACCATATTGCTTAGTACCAAAAAGTAACTCAGGAGCTCTGTACCATCGAGCAAAGACCTATTTGTAGTTCCATGGACTTACAAGTAAGTTAAATCCAAAAGGATGGATAAATTCACAGCTTCCAGTTGAAAGATAAGAAAAACAAATCAGAAGAAAACTATCTAGAACCAACTGCAAAATCAATAACTTCTCAAAGAGAGGACAATAAACATGCAAATAAATCAAAATGGCAAATTTCTAAATAAAAAATTATGCAATACCAAGAAAAGAATAAAAAAATAGATGGACATCGAATTTTGTTGATCCAATTGGTCTCTCTCCATAAAACCAACTACATTGAAAGTTTTGCTTCAAGATACTATGAGAATGACAGTAAAAGCTGATGACACAACAAAATAATGGATATAACACAGGATACCAATGATATTTACCATAATCCAACATGCATGTTTTATGCACACAACCTAGTTCCTGCATAACAATCAAGCCAAAAATGTAGAAAGCAAGAAGTTGAGAATGAAATCAAGCAAAAATATAAACCCAGTTTTTAAACTTATCCCACAGAAACATAGAGATTGCAGAAAACAAGGGAGTTGTGATTATGAGTATTATCTCTGAAAGGTTAGGAAGTTAGAACTGCCACCAAGTTCTCTTATTCCTAGCAGAAAATACTGATTCATGATACAAAAAAATTATAAAATTATGGGGACAGTGGAGCAAAAAGATGTTATTCAAAGCACCAATTAGTCAGCGTACTGATAAAAATGAAAACACCACTTAGCAGCTATAAGCTTACCTGGTGAGTAAACCTGCGATCTGGGCTGCCAAATATGCGTGCTAAACCAAAATCTGCAAGTTTAAGCTGTCCATTGGATCCTATTAGCAAATTATTAGGCTTCATATCCCTGTAAAGCAAAATATCAAGTAAAGAAATTTAGAAGGCCACAACCACACAAAACTAGGCTAAGGGCAAACTTTTTTTTTGATAAGAAGGCTAAGAGCAAACTGAAACAAGACCTGTGTAAAACCCATTTCTTGTGGCAAAAAGCAAGTCCTTTCAAAGTCATCTGAATGTAGGATTTGATGTCAGCTGGTGAGAGGAATATATTCCGATCTCGAATAACAGCTTCAAGGTCGGTCTCCATAAATTCAAACACAAGATGCAAATTACCCTTGTGCGGGAATGCATCTGTTAACTCAATTATATTAGGATCTTTCAGCTCCTTAAGAAGTTTAATTTCTCTGAGTGCAGTAAAATTCACCCCTTCCTTCTGCTTCCCAAGCCGAATTTTCTTTATGGCAACTGTCTGTCCTGTCTGCAGTGGACGAAACAAGCAAAAAATTGCACTTATAACAGTTGAATAAATTAATTTAGTTTTATACATAGCAATTTGGTTGAATTATATTTCGTTTTCTCTTCCTCTTTCCTTTTTTGACTTTAATTTTTGGTGCAGAGGCAAAATAGCAAAATCCCCATCTAAAGTAAGCCTATAATCACTCAGTTAAGTGACAAAATTTCTATTAACAAAAAATTGATTGCAAAAAAAACTGAATAATTTTATCCTCGCAATTTATCTAAGAGAGAAAAAGGATAATTATGCATCGCGTTTATACTATCAAAAACCTAATTGATCTATTTCCAAACTCAGTTTCAAAAAAGAATATAAAGTAAGAAAGATATTTAGGGTTACCTTGGTATCAATGGCTTTGTAGACAACACCATAAGTACCTTCACCAAGAACCTCGCGCTTCAAGTACCTATCCGCCACTTTCTTCGACGGATCCGTTTCTGTCATTTTCCCCTTTTCCTTTTCTTAATGTGTTCTTTAATCTATCAGAATTTTCACAACGCATTACTTGTATTCTTCTCCATTTTTTCCATTTCAGGCCTTGAAACCAGATTTCAAACCCAAAAGAAGAGAAGGAATAAAAGGTTAGTAGCTTTCTTCGAGCTCCCAGCTCTGGATGAGAAAAGATCGGAAATAATGGGAAATCAGGCAAAGTAAGAGAGATCGGTAAACAAACGAATTTTGAAGCAAATATCAATTTGATTGAAAATTACTAAAAATACATTTAATCTAAAAAGAAAAAGGAAACATAATCCTGGATGAAGGTACTATTATGAGGAAGAAAAACAGCGGTGAGCAAGAAGAGAGTACTAAATATTCATATAGGGGAAGCACTCTTAGACCACTCTACTTTGTTTGGATTCAAACGTACCCACGTTGCGCACGTTTAGCATCAAATTGTGTGCAATCGCACTGCGCCTGCCATTTGAATGCCCGCGGTGAAAAGTTTTCATCACAACGCACCTTGTTTTTTCTACTGAGTTAAAACTCTCAAACGATATATGCAGCTTCTTTATCCTTTTTACCCTATTTTCGATTGTTTTTCTTTTGTAGTTTTAGAAATAGTAAATAACTTTATATTGAGATTTGATTAATTAATTATTTAAAACGAACAGTTATAAATAGATAAAAACGAAGGCAAAATAATAAGTAACTCAATATTTGAGATTAAATATAGGCCAAAGTAGTAGAGGTTACTTGAACAAGTTAAAATGATTTTTCCCCAATAAATTTTTAAATGTTTGATCATTTAATGATTATTTTATAATATTTAAAATTTTGTTAGTTAAAATTATTATTTTAACATAACGACCTCTAATATATTTTACCCTTAAATATATAAGTAGCTTTAGCATAAAATAATATGATATTTTGGAATGAGGCTAGTGAGTCTCTTGACTAGGATTTTAGTGATGGCCTTATAAATGACAAAACAATAAGATATTGGCCTGAAGTCTTTGACTTTGTGGGGTTTGGAACTTTGGGGATCAATGCAATAGTGGTTGCATTAAAAACAGGGAGCATATTGGATTGTTGGAAAAAATATTTAACTGCTGCCACAACATCCACACCAACAATGGACCAAGACTTTTTGAAAAAAAAGAAGGGTAAAACCATCAGGGCCAGGGGCCTTGTCATTCTCTTAGCCAAAAATAGATTCTTTAATCTCTTCATTAGATACTTCTTTGACAATGTTAGAAGCATTGTCAGATGGAATAGAATAGTTCAACAGATCCTTTAAAAACTGAGGATTAGTGCCTTTGACACTAGGATCAGCAGCCCCAATCAAGTTAGAATAGAAATATATCACTTCCGAAGCCATTAAATCGAAAGATTCAAGTCTGTTACCCTGATCATCAATGAGCATACGAATAGTCTCCCTATTTTTCTTAACATTAACAGCAGAATGAAAGAATTTGGTGCATTGATCACCGTCTTTGATCCATTTAACCTTTGCTTTATGTTTCAGAAATAGATGTTCAGCTTTTTCAAGAATGTTTAATTCTTGTTGGATTTGCAGCTCCTTATCAATAGAATCTTCTCTCTTTAAAGAGAGAAGTTGCCGATGTTAAAGTTCAGTTTTCTTCATCCTAACCCGAGACGAGATATCGCTATAGCAAGAAGAATTGAGTTTCTTTAAGCTGGTTTTAAGGTGCTTGAGCTTGAGGAAAAGAATCTTCATAGGATTTCCTTGAAAAGAGACTTTCCAAGACTGTTCAACCTCTTTCAAGAAATTCGGATGTAAGGTCCAAAAATTGAAGAATTTAAATGGCTTAGGCTTATTAGTAGGGTTGTCTTTTGAAAACCATACTAGTGTCATACAGTGATCGGAAACTCCCGGAGGAAGGAATTCAACAAAAGAACTTTGAAAAGTACTAACCCAATTGTGGTTTATGAGCACCCTGTCAAGTTTTCTCGCAAGGAAAGATCCAGATTGTTTGTTGCTCCATGTAAAAAGAGGACCAAAAAAGGGATGATCAAGGAGGTCAATAGCCCGAATGACTTCTTGGATCTCTTTCATTTCGGGAGAAGAGAAGGGAGTGAGGAGCTCAAAATCTGAGCTTTCGTTGGGATGCAGGGTGATGTTAAAGTTTCCTCCTAGAATCCAAGGGAGGTGGTCAATACTACTTTCCAGATCGAGTAATTTCAACCAAAGCTGTCTACGGGTAATTGTGTCATTGCTACCATAAACCGCGGAAATAACAAAAGGATTTCCATTGAACTTTCCATTGGCAGAAATAACCTGATCAGAAACTTGGAAAGTAGAAAGATCAATATTTTTCTTCCATATGATCCAAATTCTCCCATTGATTGCGTAGTCGTAATTAGTACTAACATTCCAATTCGCAGATAAAGATTCAACTATGACATTGGATTAATATCAACATTGTACTGTGATGCCCTAAGAAGCACCTTATTTCGCTTCAAAGGATTATTAAATCCTCTTATGTTCCAGTAGAAGACAATCATTGAGGAATAAATACCAAAGAGGTTCCATCACCCCCAGTCGAGGAACTTTTGGTTTTATCCAATTTGTCTTTCTTTTTCTGCTTAAGGTCTTTGACCAGTTCATCAACTCCCTTTGATACAATTTGGCTTTTCCTTTGGGGACCATCATGATTGGGAGTGGTTTCTTCAATTGAATTCAGGAGTTCAAATCTATTCTTAGAACCAACAAAAACAGTTTTCTCCTTGGGAGGATTTCCTCTACCACGTTTAGGAGATGATTTTATAGAGGAACCATCTTCGACAATAGCAATGGGATCAGAAGATGAAGACTGAATTTCAACACTTGGGACATATTGCAAATCCTTAGAATTAGTAAAATTATGATCAGTATCAACATCATTCTCTTGTGTAACAACAATAGAAGGTGGATTAAGATTTAAATTTTGAGAAGGAAGCTTAGGAGGATCAGAGCGGATAAAATCAAGCTGATTCTCTTTAGCTTGAGAGTCTTCATTAGGGAAAGATTCAGAAATGGCAGAAGCATGAAGAGAATTTGCTCCTTCATGAGAGCAATTTGAAATTTGAGCATATTTTTTCTTCCAGACTTGGCTAGGAGCAGGATTTGAGTTGGATTTCACTAAGCAATTTTTGTCATTATGACCAAAAATCTTACAATTCTTGCATTTAGGAGGCAGCCAGGGTACTTCCACATAGACAGTTGTAGTTAAACCATCTTGGAGGACAACATTAAGAGTTTTAGGAATATCGTCGTTAACATCAATTTCCACGCAAATCTTTGCGAATTCAAGCCTAGACTTAGAAGCTGTTACATAATCCATAGAAATTGGATTCCCTAAGCAACTAGCAATGTAACTTAAGCCTGTCTGAGTAAATAATTCAAGGGGACATTATACAGGTGAACCCAAATCGGGATTTTAGAGAGATCAAAGTGAAGGCATTTTAAGCTAGGTTCCCAATTTCTCAGAATGAGTGGTTTATTAAGTATTGCCAAGGGCCATTTTCAAGCACCCATTTCCTAGCAATTTCAGAAGCAAATGTGAAAATATAAAGATTAGTTCCTACTAAACTGACTTGTACTCGAGAGCCTTACAATGGTTTTGTCCATAAGTTATCAATGATTCGTTGTAGAGTTGAGAAGTTTGGCGTCGGACCAAGAAATTGCCCCTCGAGTGATAACCTCCATTCTGATATGCCAGATTTTAATACCTCGGTGGGAGGGTTAATCATTGGGATTCCGTCTTGCACCTTCGGTGGATAAAAATTTAGGGTTTGGCTATTAAAACCCCCAAATAACTTTATTCAGTCCATCAAATGAGTGAGGGATTTTTGGGTAAGATGGATAGGAAAACGAGGACCTTGAAACAAGAAGCCAAGATAAAGAACCATCGTGATCAAGAGAGTAATAGGCAGAAAAGACGAAGACCACCGGAGACACGACGGAAATCCAGAAACTGTTAAGCCTGCTAACGTACACCTAGAGGTACTTAAAGGAAGATCATTTCTCTTAGATGTTCTTTAAAGATTGATCTCCAAAAGGCTTTCAATAATATTCATTGGGACTTTATTTATTCTGTCCTAAAAGCCCTCAATCTTCCTCAGAGATTTATTAATTGGATTGAGGCATGTTTCTCTGAAGCTAGATTCTCAATCTCTTTTAATGGAAGCTTGATAGGATTTTTAAGGGAGCTAGAGGCATTAGACAAGGTGATCCACTTTCTCATATCCTTTTCGTAATCTCCATGAATATCCTTTCCAGTTTGCTCAATCTGGCTGCTACCAAAGGTCTGTTTAACTACCACCCTAAATGCAAAAGAATAGGGCTCACTCATTTATCCTTTGCTGACGATTTATTAATTTTTTTCAAATGAAATGTGGAGTCTGTTGCAGGAGTCTTAACTGTTCTTGATCATTTTTATAAGATGTATGGCCTTAATCTCAATGCTGGAAAATGTGTCTTCTTTACAGTTGAAATTTCGAACAGCAACATTGAGCTTATTAAAAGAACAATTGGTTTCCATCATGGCAGCTTGCCTGTTAGATATCTTGGTCTTCCTTTAATAACAAGAAAACTTTCAGAAAATGATTGTGGTCCTCTGATTGATAGTATTAAAACAAGGCTCAACCTTTGGTTTAGCAAAAACTTGAGCTACGCTGGCAGACTCGAGCTCGTAAGAGTTGTATTGTTCAGCATTGTTAATTATTGGTGCAGGCATTTACTGTTCCCTCAGTCTGTAATCAGCAAAATTGAACAACTCTGCTCTCGTTTCTTCTAGAAAGGCTCAGACAAATCTGCCTCAAGTGCGCGTGTCTGCTGGAACAAAATCTGACATCTGAAATCAGGGGGGGATCTTGGTTTAAAAGACCTTAAATCATGGAATAGAGCCTGCATTATCAAGCTTGTAAAAAATATACTTGCAGGAGAGGATTCTCTTTGGGTTGCATGGATTAATGTTTATGTTATCAAGGATAAGGACTTGTGGACCATGGAAAGAGGTGCTAGCCTTAGTTGGAGCTTTAATAGAATTCTTAAACTTCGATCTACAGCACACCATGTCCTTGCGAGTAGAGATTCCACCATTAGGGAAATATGGCTTGAAATTAGAAACAAGGGTGATAAAGTCCCTTGGCACAACTTAATTTGGTTCCCTCAACACATTCCTAAACACAACCTTATAGCATAGATGGCATTTTTAGATAGACTCCCTACTTGTGATTGTCTTTTAAGTATGGGGATCAATTCTAACGGGAATTGTGTTCTCTGTAATGATATGCTGGAAAACCGTAATCACTTATTCTTTGGTTGCTCCACTGCTTCTTTTTTGCGAACATAAATTCTGCTCCTTAACGGTTTAAACACAAACATCTCTTCTTGGGAGGATATGATAACATGGGCTTGCAACACATGGAAAGGTAAATCCCTCATTTTCACTATTCTTAAACTTGCTTGGTGTGCAAGCATTTATGTCTTGTGGGAGGAACGCAACCGATGAATCTTCAAATGATGCTCCAGAACTGCCGAGGAACTTCTCATTAGCATCAAAGACTTTGTTGGAATTAAACTTAGGGGGGAAAACATTAATATGCTAGATCATGTAAATTCTAATCTTTGTAATGCTTGGGGTATTGCTTAATTGATCACTTTTTGTATATTAACTTTCTTTTTTCAGTGATCGGTTCTGATTTTGTAACTAACATTGCTTATTTGGGTAATAAAAATATTTATTTATCAAAAAATGATATTTTTTGAACTAATCACTTGTATCCGATCTATTGACCGACTAATCCAGATCGGGTACTGCAGAGGCGAGTACAACCCCTAACCCAGTTTGCTCCATTCATAAAATTCAGGATTCGAACCCCTGACCTTGCTTAAGGGACCTAGTGTCTCATCCCACTAGACCAACTGGTTGTTGGTAATATGATATTTTTCAACTAAATGAAATTTTATATTTTCTCAAATTATATAAATATATTAAGGGTTGTGATTCACTCGCTAGTTTCCTATAAATTTAAGATCGTTGAACAAGTGAAAATAGATGGCCGATATTAACTTCTTGTTTTTCGAATGTATATCTTCTTATTTCTTAATCATATATTTTCAGTCATCCAATTATCCTACTTCATTTAGTAGTATCTAAAGATTATTATATACTCTCGTTTCAACATTTATTATTATGATTAAATTCAAACACATATTTTATAGTTGATTCTTATTTTATCATCACAAACATCCAATATCATAACTACAATATCTAATTTTATTATTACTGATGTTTTAAATCTTATTAGAGTTAAATTTATTATAACAATTCGATCATTTAATCAATATTTTGATGTTAATTTAATTATTTATTAACTCAATTTGAAGAATAATTCAACTTATTGAAGAGCTATCTAACCTCTTTAACTTTCTAACTACTTGATGTTAGTCCACTTTCAAGGTTTGATATTTTTTTTCACTCAAAAGGTCTTAAATTTTTTTTTAAAGAAAGAAAAATAAAAAAAAAGTATAAGAGGAGAAATTATTTTATGAATCTTTCTCATCACATAAGATATGGACCTAGCCAATCAAATTTATACATGTCAATAATTATTTATTAATTATCATTAAATTTATATTTAATTTTAATTGTTTATTTCTTTCTGTAATAGGATTGAATTTTTATCTTTTCTTCAACCTCTTAACTCTCCCCTCCCTAACCCAATCACCATAGCCACTTTCATTTTCCTTCCTTCCTATGCTTGCAACCTAAATCATGTTATCTTCAATACATATTAAGTTAAATCGTTTCTCTCTCTCTCTCTCTCTTTTTGATTTTTTATACCCTAAGTAAAATTTAATCGATCAATAGATATGTCATAGCCCAATTCAAGAAAAGAATTAAATTGGTTGAAATTTAGGGACTAAAATGCAAGATTCCAGAATGTGTAGGCTTTTTAAGAAGTTGCTTGAAAATCCAAGGATGTTAACTCTAAATTACCCATTTTTATTCTCAGTGAAAATTAAAACCCCCTATTTGAAATTTTATAAACAATTAAAATATGTTATAAATCTATGTACTCTTTCTACATTTGAAATTTAATTTTTAAATCCAAAAATATATAAAAGAAAATATGTTTTCAAAACTAAAAGTAGAAGGTTTGGATTTCAAATGTACAAAGAGTATAAGGACTTGGACATGTTGTTTACTTTATATAAAATAAGTTAAATCTAAACTTTTTAACATAATAAATTAAAAGAAAAAAGTATATAATTCCTTTTATAGAAATTAAGTAATTATTATCAATAAAAAGATTATTACTTTAGTGAAAAAAAATAAGAGTTTTATAGAAAGAGAAATTATAAAATTATTTTGATTACATGTAATCCCTCGTATCTATGTTGGAGATCATATCATAGACATATTTGTCTCTGACGATGTCGGTTCTTCCAGAATATTTATAGACTATCTTCATCGGGATTTCATATAAAAGTAATAAATCTAAAATTATTATTAAGCTAAATTTCAATTTATTATGTTAAAAAAATTCAAATAGATAAATATATTAATAAAAAAGTGAAAATTTATAGACTATCTTTTTAATATTAATAAGATAATTTTATGGCTGTGTTGATGAAATAAATAAATAAATAAATGAATCAAATAGACAATATGAAGTGAATATGTGTATATAAAAATACGAATCCATAATTTTATGTCTAGAGATAAACAAACTTTAAATAATTATATTAAAAATTTAAGTATTGTAATATATAAAAATTTAAAATTTTCAGAGATACAATTGTCTCAATATCTCTTCTGCCTATTCATGTATATAATTATTCGATAAATTATTTTCACAAATGATTTTAATTCATCCTCACATATATTTACTTAATATTTAATTATACACTTAAAATACATAAAAATAAATTAAAAAATTCAAACGTCAAATCATTAATAATAATTTTATGTAACTTGATGCTGACTTATGCATGATGTCATAATGACTATAGTTATTTTCAAATAAAATATATTAAATACGTATTTTTATAGTATTTAAACAAATTACATCATATTTATTACTATAGTATTTATTTTCGGGTAAATTACAGGTTTGGTAAGTGAAGTTTATTTTCTACAGTTAAATAATTAAACGACGTTATGACATGACAACTTATATTAAAATGACGCTATTTTGAATTCTTATATAAAAAAAAGAAATTTAAACTAAAGCGACGTCGTTTTGATTAAAATACGGTCATATCATGACGCCGTTAATTATTTAACGGCGGAGTGACTGAAAAATTTAATATATAAAGTTCAGTGAGTAAATT